TTCTGTGATTCTATGATACCCAAGACAACAGCAGGAGCCAGAATTCAGAAAGAATCCACAAGTCCACAGAGCCATCACCATACATAGGAAGTTTAGTTTAGCTACTTGGAATTTTCTCTAACAGTACTGTTGTGCATCCTAGGCTGGGGAGTGTAAATTGAAAGATTATTTATTGCTGTAACTACCAACTAAGTGAGAAGAGGTCTAGCTCCAAAGGCCACACCATGAAAGAAAAATGGGATCATACAATGACCGGCAACCTGCTCATTGACCATGGAATACTCTTACCTCTTCAAATTTGCCAAACTTTTCAGCAATCTCTGCTTTCAGTTCCGTGGTGTCCTGTCCATCTTTGACTGCCACAAAATACTTGAAGACCAATGATGTTATCTAAACAAAGGAAAGTATAAAGTCTTTAATGTTCCTATTACAATAATACAAGCAAGTCACTCAGACCTTAAGTTAAATGGTACGATCTTAGATTCAAGTTAAATCCTAAAGATTTAACTTTAAAGAGTTAAATAAAGTCCATTAATAAAACCTTTCATACTTCAGAAAAGATAAGCAGAGTCTTAAAGAAAGAATGAATGCAAAATACTAACGAATGTTAGTCTTGTAATAAGAGAACAATGAAAAGAATGGCATGTTTCCCATTTGCACACAGTACTACAAAATAACAAAAAAGCTACCAAGGTGCTTTTTTCCCAGTTACACATTTCTGAATTCCAAATGCACTTTTATTATCCACATTTAAGGTACTTTAAGAAAGAGACATGCAGCCCAGAATATGCAGGCTCCTACAAACCTGTGCATTTTCTGATTTAGTAATTGGAAGAGAAACTAGCATACAGTACCAGAAAGTTGTCCAGTGGCCAAGCTTCAATAAAATATAGTCTTCAAAAGTCAGAAAACCATTTTTCTAAGATCTTGTCATTCCTACAACCAACATTCAGTGCATGTTTTGTTTCTTGCAATATGCTTCCCTGTGACCATCTTCCTATCATGCCTATTCAGAAAGGCCTGTTGTAAATACATCTTCCTTTCTAACCCTCTTCTTCGTCCACATCTCTTTGCATCTTCTGTTGCTTCCTCTCCCCTCTTCTGCCTCATATCCAAACAGACTTCTTTCACTTCCTAGACTCTTCAAAGCACGTGCTTACACAGGTTACTTCGAGTCAGTCACAGTGCTCTCTGCCAACCCCCAGAGAGCCAAAACCTTATACATGTCCCATGTCTACAGCTACCTCTCATCCATGGTTGTAGGCTCTCTCAGTCAGGCATTTTTTGCATTCCACATTCATACAGTACTTCCTACAGAAAGACTCAGATTAAAATACAGCAGTTGTTACTAACCAGGTCTCAAGCATTCGGCTGGTTTGGTCTAATAACCTTTGCTCTATCGTGGGATGCTCAAAATCCTGCCTCAGTCATATACACTTTCACTAGCTTGGCTGTCTTCCTGCATCCATCCCTACACACAAACACTAGAAGCAATTCAGACATGCAGTGGTTTGTATGTGCTCACAGCAAGGGACCCCAGATAACTCCTCCCAGGTACAACACCTGCCTTAAAGAATGAAAGCAGCACTGGCAACAGAACTGCAGGTTTTGGTGCTAAGGTAAAGTAAGAAACAAGATCCCACACTGATTCTACAGTACCTTTGAGAAGTGTTCCAAGAGCATCTTCTGAAAGGCTCGCTCATATGGGTCTGAAGGCATCAACTTCCTCCCCGGAAATGCTTCATCCAAATATTCACAAGTGATTGGGGACTCATAGATCAGCTGGCCCTTGCTGGTCTCCAGAACAGGAACCAGCCCAAAGGGGTTCTTCTCAAAGAACCAGTCAGGTTTGTTCTTCAGATTGATGTTGATTACTTCATGGCTAAAAGAGCAAAAGAAACAAGACCCAGCCTCAGTTCTGCTACAGTCCACTCCATACCATGATGAAATGCAGTCATTACACCTCAACAGCTACAGTACCTGAGAGGCTGAAACATAGAATCAACTAGGTTAAAAAGACCTCCAAGATCATCAAGCCCAACTGTTCATCCAGGACTGCCAAGTCCACCACTAAACTCTTCCTTGTCTTCCCTGAAGTCCTTTGCAAGACTAACCATTGCTATAAATTAAGTTCAGTTAGCTGAATTCTTTTAACTCTTATTTTGTCTGAGCAGTTTTGCTTAGCACGATTAGCTAAAGTTGCTGAAGCCTTAGGCTGCCACCTGTGACCTAGAAAAGTTGAACTTATCTTGGACTATTGCTTAGTTCCGTGAAGGGAGGCCCTGCGACCAGTGCAAACTAAGATAAGGAAGCCACAACTGAAAGCGGAAGCTGCAATTTATCCAGTTAATGGCCTACCTGGACCCAGAGAAAGAATCCAATTAGGAACAAGACCTCAGAGCAAAAATCACCACTGAACCAAGAGGTCTGTGCAAGGTGCATGAAGAACATGCTAAGAGTAAGTGCAGAGTTTGAAAAGGTACAAAAGCCTAGGGGTTTCTTTGTCCTGGTCTGTCTCCAAAGGCACCCAGCTCAAGCTGTCCCTATTGCTGTACCACTCAAATTATCTGTTTTCCTGGAGTCAGACATCTGACCCTCTGCTGTGGGAAACCCAGGGCAAAGAAATGCCTTTAACACCATCTAACATGCACAAATACTGCCAGAGGAGAGCGGCACTTCACTGAAGAATAACCAGCACTGACTTAGAATGTTGTTTATTAAACTAGTAAAGAACACACGAACAGTCTGGAAGCACACAACAGAGGCAGCCCTTGCAGCCACCAAAAACAAAGCTCAAGCGCAGAATACAGCAAACCTTCACATGCAGGTTAGGGGTATTCTGTGAAAGAAGCACAAGTAAACTACACTCCAATTGAGAACTGCAGCTGAATTTTAATCTGACCTTACACCAAAGAGCAGATCAGGAGAGCATCCTACCTACTTCCTGTCCCCACCTATGGCCTCACATAGAGCAGGTGTTTAAGGTAAATGCAGATAGATACTGCTAAGGTCTGCCTAACACAAATGAACCTGCAAAACAACTGAAAGGTTACCAGAAGGCAACTACCACATTTAGGTAGCCATAAAAGCCCTCCAAAATCACTATACTAAAACAAACCTCCCAGTTCTGAAATCAATCCAAAGACACTAAATGAAGACAGAACTAAACTGACATGGAAGTTTTAATGCTAAATCAAGGCAGAATTAAATTGACCTGAAAGTTTTAACACACCTATTCTTTCAAAGAAAGACCCAAGAAAAAAGAAAAACAAGATGAGAGTTTAGTTGGTTTGTTAGTTATCAGGAGAACTGGACGGTAAGCAGTCACTCTGCTAACATGAACCCCCAGCCCTGTTATCAAACCTTTGGCAGGCCTGGGACTCGGTGGCAATCATAAAAAGGTGGAAAACCCCACTACTTTGAAACCGTAAACTGAGCAAAACACTAAACCCCACTTAAAAACACTGAAATGACATGGCTATCCTGAGAAAGAAACGAACACAAGTTGTCAAGTCCATTAACTTAGCACAGCACAGGAAGGAGATGTTACAGGAAAACAGTGTACCTTTTAAAGAGGCCGCTCACTCACCATGGCGTTCGCATCTCCCAGAGTTTTCACTGCAGCTTACATCAAAATCAAGTAACGTACTTTAAGGCTCTACTCATGTTTACCAACAACAAGCTCCTATGTTATTACTGCAAACATTCAGGATGACAAATGAGGAAAAAAAGAAGAATCAGCTTGGGGTTCCTCCCTACAGATTTACATTAGGCCTTTACATAACTGAATTCCTAGCAGCCTTCTGATTTCCCACTTCCGCAAGACACCACTCCCCAAATCAAGAAGTTCCAGCTTTATGGCAAAATCACCCACGGAAACCTCTTCCCAGTTATTGTTTTCAGGGATGTTAAGAGTCATTCGGGATGCCCAGGTAAGAAGGGAAGCTCGAACCGTCCCCTGCGAACCCCGACAGCCCG